GAGAAGCACTTGTGCTTTGTGATTGGTCCGGCGGCTTCTGGGATCGGTCATGTGTCCCAGGTACCACCTTAAAATTCACAAAAAGCACCGCTTCTTGCGCATGCGCACTTGGCACCCGGCTGTCTTGCCTACAGAAGTCGGGAAGACAGTGCGCCGCTGGATACAGGAACAGGTAAGATCAAAGAAGTAAGAGCGGGTACCTGTCCAATTCAGGTACCCGCTCCCCACCTCCCCAAAGGTCAGCAGTCCTCTTCTTAAGGTCCCGCTGCAGAGCTGAGCGGCCGGCCCGGTATTCTGCACGGCGGCGGTGGAAATACCGGACCGGCCGCTCTATATTCGCTCCATAAGACGCACTGACATTTTCCCCCCTTTTTTGGGGGGAAAAAAGTGCATCTTATGGAGCGAAAAATACGGTATATTCATAATACCCTCATTTAATATAACAAAAATAATAAACCAACTAATAACACTCGACTAAAACGCATTTAAATGATCCCCATAAACAAAAATAACCAAATGCTCATAAACAACCAGTAGTGACCAGTATGAATCCAAACATCATCAAAACAATAGTCCCATTGAATAAATAATTGTTTGTATATAGTGACTTGGTGCTTGTTGTTCTTCAATTTGTGACTTTTGTGAATCCTTCAAATAGTGAAGATGTGCGCTCACCTCCTTTGATGCCTGCAATTAGGCTATACACGCTTTCGGTTCACTTTCCCTGGAACCTGCTGGACATATACTTTTGCTAGTAAAATTGGGAGATCCTTCCTTTAGGAGTAATGGATGTATCCTCTGGTGGCTGATTATCCCCTCAGGGACGAGGGAGTGCCACAGCTGCAGGAGAGGTCTGAGGGCCACATGAAATGGCCTGGAGGGCCAGATTTGGCCCTCGGGCCTTGTGTTTGACACCTGTGCCCTAGATAAAATGATCAATTTGCTCATGCCATGGAGTGTGGGCACAGCCCCACTGCATGGGAAAATAAAACATTTCATCAGTGTTCTGCTTTAAGGGTTCCTTCATGTTATAGAAAAGTGTGAGACGTCTCCCGTACACAACATTACAATCATACAAGTCAGTCGTAGTCTGTAGGATTTTATGCTGAATATTGCTCCATTTAGGGCTGTATCCTGGAAGATTCAGAGGGTCACATAAAGACCGGGGAAAATTTACTAAGACTGGAGCACTCAGAATCTGGTGCAGATGTGCATGGTAGCCAATCAGCTTCTAACTTCAGCTTGCACTCTCCAAGTTTAGTAAATAACCCCTACCATGTCTAAGATTGCACATTTCAGCTGACTTTCAGTGGTTTGCACCTTTAGATTGCATAGTGTGTGGATTGTTGAAGACAGACCTTAATAACCTGTGGAATTCCATTGAAATACAAGTATGTCAGGATCCAACCCCCTGATCCCTAACCTGTGGAACTTGCTGTGCAGGCCCCGGGGCCTTTGCACACAGTGGTTTATGTTCTCCTTACCTGGGGGCTTGTTCAATGAAACTCCATCCAGCCGCAGCGTGTTTCAGGCAGCCATAGACTTTGATTGGCTGGGATTGGAGGCTCAGGAACTATAGATCTGTGTGCAAGGGGCCTTATTGCCATGCTGTGTGAATGATCATTTGTTGGAGGACATGCAACGCTGCTTGGTATGCACTATGGGGACTTGGGATATATGTTGATATTATTAAAGCAGAACTCCAGGGTCGTGGGTTAACTTAGGGGTGCTCAACCCTTTAAAGCGGTCGAGTGATTTGGTAACCAGATCAGTGGTCTCCGAGGGTCACAGGTTGAGCACCCCTGGGTTAACTGCTTGTTTTGTCTAGGGATGAATGCAGATTTTGTACTCGCCAGATCCTTCGATCCACTGGAAAACGCCACTCCCCCCATGTCCAGCGGTGGACTGTTCCTGCCCTCCTCATGTTCAGACGCGGTCTATGGGTGTGATGATATCAGGAACAGTACACCACACAAGACTGCTAGACCACAGGGGAGGAAGGGACCTATCTTGCACTGGGAGGATTGGCAGATTAGGTAATTATATCTCAGCTCTCCTCAGCCCTAGGCAAAAATTAGCAGATAAGCTGAGCCCGCACTGCATGGGGGAATAAAAATTTCCCGGAGTTCTGCTTGTGAGTGGTTGTAACCCTCGACACGAGATGTGAACAAAACATATCCCTCTATAGTGGGTACTTGTCTCAGCCCAGAGCACTAAGTGTCATTTCTGTTTGCTTCTTCATTCCTCTGCTGTCAGTATGAGTCACTTCTGACAACTTTTCCTGACACCAAGAAAAAAAATGGTGATGGAGAGGGACCTCCAGCTGATTAACTGCTGTGGGGGGTGGGGTCTCTTCCCTCCAATCTGCTCTCAGAGCTCTCTTCACTGAGCTCTGCAGAGTGTAATTTCATCTCTCCATCCCTTTTTTTTAAATTCTCAAACAAACTTTATAAATTCAGGACTTTTGAGATAAACAGGTACAACTTATGCAGGAGGATGTGTTTCATCTCTGTGTATCACCTGAGGCCAATCACATTTTTTTAAAAACCTATGGCCTTCAAACACATTTGTAGACACTCCTCTGGTGCTTCCTGCACCATCTCCATGATCTACTCTTCCCTGAATGCTACTGACCCTCCTTCTGCTTCCTACAAGCTAAGGCTTCATATACACGGGACGTTTGGAAAACACTTTTGACCACTGGAAAATGACTGCTGGGAAACGTAGGTTAAAAAAACAGCTGTTTAGCCACGTTTGCATACCGCGTTTATGTGCGTTTTGCATTTAGAAGCGTTTTTTAAAGATAACCTCAGGAGACCTTCAAAAATGCCCAGAATGCACTGAAAAACAGTAAAAATTAACTATTTCAGACATTTGGGGAGAAATAGAGAGAGCAGAAGCAGAGAGAGCAGTATGTGTTGAGATGACCTGTCTTTTCTGGTTGTATTCACTATGGATCCCATCATGAGCATAATGCGGCACATTCTACCATTTTTTCCTTCACATGAAACCTGGAACTGACTGCGCTGGTGTATCGGGTCCATTTGAATACATAGACAATGCTTTGCATGCATTTCTGATGATGAAAAAAGGCTCTGGACAGTATCTGGATATGGAACAGTAAAGAATGCTTCTAAACGCAAACGCGTATAAACGCAGGCAGCCACGTTTACTGGCGTTTGCCGTTTGAAACGCCGGTAAAATCTACTCCTGAACGCAAGTTCACAACTGGAAATTCAACTGCCTGTAAACGATGATGTGTACATGGACACCTAGGAAAACATTAGGGAGAGTTCAGGGGCTGCTAAAAAAAAATGCAGAAAAGCTCCTGAACGTCAGTTTATCAACTGCAGTGTACATGAGCACTAAGTTGGGAACAAGATTTGGGAACTTCTATTGACCCTGAGGATTGGAGTAAGTCCCGGTCATCTATAGCAAAATGTCCCTTCAACACAACCACACTGGGCGGCTTATAAGGACTTTTTGAGGTGGTATTGGGTTCCAGAAGGCATATCAGGTCCAAACCCATCCTGCAGTGATAGGTGTTTCAGAGGCTGTGGCCAACATGGTGATGAGGTTCACATCTGGTGGTCCTGCCCACCTTTAATGAGGTTCTGGTCCCGGGTCTTTGGGGTCTTACACACATTATTTCGTGTAGCCATTTGAAAAGATGGATAATTAGCCCTACTGCCAGGTTTCTTCTCATACCAGCCAAAGCTTGACATCTACCTGTTTATTGTCACTGAACCTGCTGTTGCCAAGGCCTGGAGGGCACCCTCTGTTTCATTTGCAGTGGTGAAGAGAAATCTGACCAACCTGATGATCAATGAAAAGATGTCTAGCATCTTTCATGACTCCCATGTGGACCCCTTGGTGGTTGTACGCTCTCCCCAGCCTGTGTCTGACCAGCCTTGGTAACATCTGACTGCTGATGCCACCACCAAAGCCTTCAGGAACCCCACAACCCCCCTATTGCCCTCCTTCCCCCTTTTTGTTTTTTTTTTTTTTTATCCCCCCCCCTACTAGTTTACCTACCAATTTTTCATTTTTTTTTCTTTGTATGCCCCTAGGCCTGGGGTGTCAAACTGGCAGCTGTTGCACAACTACAAGTCCCATCTACCTTTTGAGAGTCATGCTTGTAACTGTCAGTCTTGCAATGCCTCATGGGACTTGTAGTTTGGCAACAGCTGGAGGGCCGCCAGTTTGACACCTGTGCCCTAGGCCTTCAGGTTTAGGCAACATATGCAGACCGATGGCTCCTTCTGTGCAGACGTTCATTAGAAGTTTATGCCGCTAAAATGTTTAGTTGCTCATGATTGCACTCATGACTACGTGACTGCTTCTTTTTTTGTACCCCCTGCATGGGCAAGCATCTGTATGTTCTGTAAAAATGATTGTACCAGAAAATAAAAGATGTAAAGCTCCCTCACCCCCCCCCCCCCCGTGCTTACGCAGAAATGTGAATATATGTAAATAGCGTTCGCACCATATGTGAGATATTGCAGCAAATGTTAGAGTGAGAGCAATACTTCCAGGGCCAGAGCTCATTTTTAACTCTAAACTGGTAACCTGTAAAGACATTTAAAATGTTACTAAACCCCGGACCCTGCATTCACTATATCTGGTCTCCCCGGACCCTGAGCCTGCATTCACTATATCCGCTCTCCCCGGAGCCTGCATTCACTATATCCGCTCTCCCCGGAGCCTGCATTCACTATATCCGCTCTCCCCGGAGCCTGCATTCACTATATCCGCTCTCCCCGGACCCTGCATTCACTATATCCGGTCTCCCCGGAGCCTGCATTCACTATATCCGGTCTCCCCGGACCCTGCATTCACTATATTGCGAATTTCTCTCCCGGACCTGCATTCCCCGTCTCCCAGGACCCTGCATTCACTATATCCGCTCTCCCCGGACCCTGCATTCACTATATCCGGTCTCCCAGAACCCTGCATTCACTATATCCGCTCCTCCCCGGACCCTGCATTCACTATATCCGCTCTCCCCGGACCCCGCATTCACTATATCCGGTCACTCCCCGGACCCCGCATTCACTATATCCGGTCTCCCCGGACCCCGCATTCACTATATATCCGGTCTCCCGGACCCCGCATTCACTATATCCGGTCTCCCGGACCCCGCATTCACTATATCCGGTCTCCCCGGACCCCGCATTCACTATATCCGGTCTCCCCGGACCCCGCATTCACTATATCCGCTCTCCCCGGACCCTGCATTCACTATATCCGCTCTCCCCGAACCTGCATTCACTATATCCGCTCTCCCCGGAACCTGCATTCACTATATCCGCTCTCCCCGGAACCTGCATTCACTATATCTGCTCTCCCCGAACCCGCATTCACTATATCCGCTCTCCCCGGACCCTGCATTCACTATATCCGCTCTCCCCGGACCCTGCATTCACTATATCCGCTCTCCCCGGACCCTGCATTCACTATATCCGTCTCCCCGGACCCCTGCATTCACTATATCTGGTCTCCCCGGACCCCTGCATTCACTATATCTGGTCTCCCCGGACCCCTGCATTCACTATATCTGGTCTCCCCGGACCCCTGCATTCACTATATCTGGTCTCCCGGAACCCGCATATCACTATATCCGCTCTCCCCCCCAGGACCCCGCATTCACTATATCTGGTCTCCCAGGACCCCTGCATTCACTATATCGGTCTCCCAGGACCCCGCATTCACTATATCTGGTCTCCCAGGACCCCGCATTCACTATATCTGGTCTCCCAGGACGGACCCGCATTCACTATATCTGGTCTCCCGGACCCCGCATTCACTATATCTGGTCTCCCAGGACCCCGCATTCACTATATCTGGTCTCCCAGGACCCCGCATTCACTATATCTGGTCTCCCAGTCTCCCAGGACCCCGAATTCCCCCGCATTCACTATATCTGGTCTCCCAGGACCCCGCATTCACAATATCTGGCATTCACAATATCTGGTCTCCCCGGACCCCGCATTCCCTATATCTGGCATTCCCTATATCTCCCCGGACCCTGCATTCCCTATATCTGGTCTCCCCGGACCCTGCATTCACTATATCCGCTCTCCCCGGAACCTGCATTCACTATATCACTATATCCGCTCTCCCCGGAACCTGCATTCACTATATCCGCTCTCCCCGGAACATTCACTATATCCGCATTCACTATATCCGCTCTCCCCGGAACCTGCATTCACTATATCCGCTCTCCCTGGACCCTGCATTCACTATATCTGGTCTCCCAGGACCCTGCATTCACTATATCTGGTCTCCCAGGACCCCTGCATTCACTATATCTGGTCTCCCCGGACCCCGCATTCACTATATCTGGTCTCCCACAGTACACACAACATGGAAATTTAATTATTTTAGTAAATATAACCTGCTTATTACCTTTTCTCATCAGCAGTTAGAGTAGTCATGTTACTTCTATCAGTGTCCAGCAGAGGACATCTTAAAGCTGTTAGGAGGAGTTTTCATTTTGCTCTAGAAGGATTCAGAACTCCTGACCTCTGTCTGGACAGTGCTGATAGGCCCTGTGCTGATCACATGCACTCTCCCAAAATAAAAAAAAAAAAAAAAAACCCTCTCTAGCAATACACACCAAACTGAGCACGTGCAGAGTGACTCCACACGATATGTCTTATCAGGAGATAAGATGGGGACAGTAGAAGGGGAGGATCAGAGAAGTCAGGATCAAACAGCATTTTTACACAATGCAGAGGATTAACCCCTTAGGTTCCACAGTGAGTATAACAAGCATGCTTTATGCATATACAGACTGATTTTACTGCTGTGGGTTTAGTATCATAGTAAGGGCCAATTATGGATTTTTTACAGACTGTAGTTTTTGCCATTTCTCAGGTGGACACAATTTTAAATCTTGACTTATTTGGTATCTATTTACATGGCACAACATCATCTTTTTATATATACAGTGGAGATCGAAAGTTTGGGCACCCCAGCTAAAAATTTGTATTAATATGCATAAAGAAGCCAAGGAAAGATGGATAAATCTCCAAAAGTCATCAATTTACAGATTAGACATTCTTATAATATGTCAACAAAAGTTAGACTTTATTTCCATCATTTACACTTTCAAAAGAACAGAAAACAAAAAATGGCATCTGCAAAAGTTTGGGCACCCTGCAGAATTTATAGCATGCACTGCCCCCTTTGCCAAGCTGAGACCTGCCAGTGTCATGGATTGTTCTCAATCATCGTCTGGGAAGACCAGGTGATGTCAATCTCAAAGGTTTTAAATGCCCAGACTCATCTGACCTTGCCCCAACAATCAGCACCATGGGTTCTTCTAAGCAGTTGTCTAGAAAACTGAAACTGAAAATAGTTGATGCTCACAAAGCTGGAGAAGGCTATAAGAAGATAGCAAAGCGTTTTCAGATGTCACTATCCTCTGTTCGGAATGTAATTAAGAAATGGCAGTCATCAGGAACAGTGGAAGTTAAAGCAAGATCTGGAAGACCAAGAAAAATATCAGACAGAACAGCTCGCAGGATTGTGAGACAAAACAATTCAAAACCCACGTTTGACTGCACGATCCCTCCAGAAAGATCTGGCAGACACTGGAGTTGTGGTACACTATTCCACTATAAAGAGATACTTGTACAAATATGGTCTTCATGGAAGAGTCATCAGAAGAAAACCTCTTCTACATCCTCACCACAAAAATCATCGTTTGAACTTTGCAAATGAACATATAGACAAGCCTGATGCATTTTGGAAACAAGTTCTGTGGACCGATGAGGTTAAAATTGAACTTTTTGGCCGGAATGAGCAAAGGTACGTTTGGAGAAGAAGGGGCACAGAATTTAATGAAAAGAACCTCTGTCCAACTGTTAAGCATGGGGTTGGATCAATCATGCTTTGGAGTTGTGTTGCAGCCAGTGGCACAGGGAACATCTCACGAGTAGAAGGAAAAATGGATTCAATAAAATTTCAGCAAATTTTGGATGGTAACTTGATGCCATCTGTGAAAAAGCTGAAGTTAAAGAGAGGATGGCTTCTACAAATGGATAATGATCCTAAACACACCTCAAGAGGCGTAAACTGAAGGTTTTGCCATGGCCTTCACAATCTCCTGACCTCAAGATAATTGAAAATCTATGGATAGACCTTAAAAGAGCAGTGCGTGACAGACAGCCCAGAAATCTCAAAGAACTGGAAGACTTTTGTAAGGAAGAATGGGCAAAGATACCTCAAACAAGAATTGAAAGACTCTTGGCTGGCTACAAAAAGCGTTTACAAGCTGTGATACTTGCCAAAGGGGGCAGTACAAGATATTAACTCTGCAGGGTGCCCAAACTTTTGCAGACGCCATTTTTTTGTTTTCTGTTATTTTGAAAGTGTAAATGATGGAAATAAAACCTAACTTTTGTTGACATATTATAAGAATGACTAATCTGTAATTTGATGCCTTTTGGAGATTTTTCCATCTTTCCTTGGCTTCTTTATGCACATTAATACAAATTTTTAGCTGGGGTGCCCAAACTTTCGATCCCCACTGTATGTATGTATGTATGTGTATATATATATATATATATATATATATATATATATATATATATATACATATATACATACATGTGTATATATACATACATCAGTTTTGTATTTGTGTGCACCAAAATGGGTCTATATTTTTTTCCCTGAAAATTTGCATTTGGTAAATGGCTGTGCAAATATTGTGTGACAAAACAAAACATTTTATTCTCGAGGGCCTCTGCTTTCATAAAATATATTATTTTGGGAGTTCTAAGTAATTTTCTAGCCAAACTGTTGCTGATTTTAATGTATGTGAGAAATCAGAATTAACCCCAAAAGCAAACATTTATTATATTACAGCTTTCCAATTTACATGTGACGGCTGCATGTGATCTTTTTTTTTTTTTTTTTTTTTAGCCTTTCTTTCACCTTGTGAACCAGCCAGTAAGTCTGCTGTTTTTAAAAGAACAAGCTCTCTTCCAAATGTATCAGTTTACAGGGATGAGACAAACTGTTTAGCATGGACAGGGCTGCTTACAATGATCAGCTTTTATGTTATGTAAAACCTTTATCCCAAAAGGAACAAAACTGTTGCTGTAGCTGATTAGAAAATGTGAGCTGCGATTTGCATTTAATTTGTGTATTTAAATCTTCTAGTACATTTAACACACCCCTCCCCCGGACTGACAATACTGTCTTCTGTGCGCCTTCATCCAGAGTGGGTGCACCTAACACAGGAGGTGTGCTACTAGGCAGATCACCAGAGGGAAAACAAAACAAAAATTAAAAAAGAACTCTAATGCAGCCACCACATCTAATAATTGGTAAGCTGCAATATATTACATTTTTGGTTTTGGGTTTAGTACCGATTTAACCAGATGCTGACCGGCCCAAGTACATATACTGAGGGCAGGCGGCTCTGTTGTGTCAGATTATGTACAAGTACATGATTTGGCATTTTTGGGTGGGGGCCCCTCTCCCGGCTGTGGTGCTATTTGCTCAACAGGTCCCAGGCATTGATTTATGACCGGGGCCTGCTGATTGGCGGAGTGAATGACAGGAGAGAGGTCTGTGTAAGTAAACAACACAGATCTCTCTACTGACAGCGGCGGTGCACTGTTTTTTGTCTCCCTGCAAAGCAGGGAATACATAAACTGCACATGGCTTAGAGAAAACAGTACACCGTAAACACATTAAAACTTGTTAGGCACACAGTTAACCCTTTGATTACCCCGAGATGTTAACCCCTTCCCATCCAGAGTCATTAGTACATTGTCCATGTATATTATTAGCTCTGATCACTGTGTTAGTGTCACTGGTTATGTTAGCGTCAGTTAGACAGTTCCCACAAAGTTACTATCACTTTCACATCCAGCACTTTAGTTTGCTGCACCTTATTATTTAACAGACATTTGTGTTGATCACACCCTATCATGGACAATATTAGTTTTATTACTGTAATCTGCTATCCATTTAATTTTTTTAATTTATATTGCATATGATATTACCCATTACTACGATATTATCACATTATTTATGCATGTACGAGGCACTTTATAATTTTTTATTATTGACTTATATCCTCTTGATTGTTTTTTGCACTTTTATATGATGCACTATGCTGTTCCACATTACTCATTCAGTTTTTAATGCATTAATAGTTCTATTTTACCATGTGATTTGCAGATCATTTTCTGCACTCTTACACGATGCACTTTATTGTTCCGTTTTAGCATATATTGATACGTCTTTTATGTGATGCACTTTGTTTCATTCTAGTACTTTTAGTGCTGCACTTGTTTACATATTCATTTTTGGGGATTGATACCTGTCTTCTGTGCTAGCTGCTTTCCAATATATTACCTAGCGCTCACCTTTTTCTGCTGTTTACTTATAGTTCCCACAAAGTGTCAGATTGCCCGCCGCACAATAACAGTCTCGCGTTAAATAACTGATCGCCGCCATCACTGGTATTAGAAAATAAATTATGTATGTGTGTGTGTGTGTATATGTATGTGTATGTATATATGTGTATGTATGTGTATGTATATATGTGTATGTGTGTGTATATGTGTATGTATGTGTATGTATATATATGTGTATGTGTGTGTGTATATGTGTATATATATATATATATATTATATACACACACACACTTGCTGCACAAATAAATTAAAGGAACACTTTGAAAACACCTCAGATCTGAATGGGGAAAAATATCATACTGGATGTTGGATATCTATACTGATATGGACTGGCTTCTCCAGACCCTTTCATGTCTGTTACGTGCTCAGGGTGAACCTGCTCTTATCTGTGAAAAGCACAGGGTGCCAGTGGTGGACCTGCCAATTCTGGTGTTCAATGGCAAATGCCAATCGAGCTCTGTGGTGATGGGAAGGGAGCACAGGGCCCACTAGAGG